TAAACCTTTATTTAAGATCTATGTTTACAAGTTCTTTCGTGAGCATTAAGGTTAGATTTATCACTAAAACGTTTATCACACCCACCACACTGATACGGCTTTTCGCCAGTATGTAATCTCATGTGTCTGGCGAGACTGCCTTTCTCGGTAAAACGCATTTTAGATGCGTCACACTTGAAGGGCCTTTCACCTGTGTGTGTCCTCACGTGGCTGACAAGATTGCATTTCTGAGTGCAACGCATTGAACAGAGGCCACAACATGGCTTTTCACCGTTGTGGTACATATTGTGCGTCTTTAGCTGACTTGCTCGTCCAAAACTCTTCCCGCACACTTCACATTTAAACGCCCCTCCGGTGCGCCCGCGCGAGTTCGCCTGCAGAGCGCAACTGGGATTGCTTTTACTTCCGCTCCCGCTGCCGATGTACTTCCTGCCGAGCTGCTTCTTCCGCAGCACCCGCGAGGCCTTCTGGTCGTCCAGCTGGTTGTTCTGCACCGGCTAAGCGTCGCGGGTGTCATACGGGACGGCGGTACCATCGTGCTTGTTTGCGTCGCCGTTGCGCAGCTCGGGCTGCGGCTGCACCTCGTCGCCCCAAGGGCCTTCCTCGGGCTTCGCCTCGCTGTCTACAGGACCTTCCTTGGGCAGAACGTCACCGTCCTGAGGGCCTGCTTCGGTCTGGACCTCGCTGCCTCCAGGGCTACCTCTCACGTCATCCTCCGCGGAGCACTTCTTGTGCTGCAGTGGGAAGCACGCCGTCACCACCAGCCGCAGCTGCTCGTCCTCCTGTTTGAGCTCGGGCGCCACGTCGACAGTGACATCTCCAGGATGCTCCCGGAGAGACGCCCCGCTGGAAGAGCTGCGCTCGCCGCCCGCCGCCTGCAACAAGAGCACAGACACCGCCGTCGTCATCACCATAGGTCCACCCCATCACCAGGACCACCCGCATGTGCCCGCGGGTCAGGGTCACGACTGCGACAACGTAACTTGGCCTGCAACAGAAAAACGAAATACGAGTCAGGTCAGTATGTGTACGCTGCTACCCCAGCCCAACACAAGTGTCGTTAGTTCGAGAACGGCGCCCAACCGACCAGCTGCCGCCGCGGCGCATTGTCACGAGCACGGTGCGGCGCCACTTTCAGAGGGCGGAGCCGCGACACATCCGGTACGCAGCACCAGCAGCTCGCGCCGGCCCCACGGGACCATTGGCAGGCCGTTGGATCACTAGGACTCACAGCTCATCTCAAGTACAGAGAGGAGCACGTCGTAGCCACCAGCTGACCGTCCTACTTTGCTCGATGCGGTGGCCTCCCCAGGAGGCCGTCTCGCTGCGAGCGAGCACCGCGTCAGACACCTGTGTCGCCAAAGACCAAGGCCCGCCACACAGCCGGTATGTACAAGCAAGGGACAGAACTACGCTGTCGTCGGGTTGGTTAAATCTGTACACCCTCGTTTTTATTCGTATTGTAAAAGAAACACACATATGAATTAACTGCAAATTTTGCTGAAAAAAACTGGCTAATTGGACTTCACAAACACAATGACTTACAAAGAAATGAAATTAAAAAGGAAAACAAATTGTATTGTGCCTTTCTAAATTACCTTTAAACCTAAAGTCCTTCTTACAAACATCACATACATATGGCTTCTCACCAGTGTGTGTCCTCATGTGCTTGACAAGATGACTTTTCACAATAAAACGCCTTTTACATACGTCACACTTATATGGCTTTTCACCGGTGTGTGTTCTCATGTGAGCGACAAGGTTACCTTTCTGAGAAAAACACACTGTACACACATCACACTTGTACGGCTTTTCACCAGTGTGCGTTCTCATGTGAACGACAAGATGGCATTTAATAGTAAAGTGCATTTTACAAAGGTCACAAGTGTATGGCTTTTCACCAGTGTGTGTTCTCATGTGCCTGGCAAGATGACCATTCTCGGTAAAACGCGATGGACAGAGGTCACAACTAAACGGTTTTTCACCAGTGTGGTACATTTTATGCCTCTCTAGGTGACCTTCACGTGCAAAACCCTTCCCACAGACTTCGCATTTCAACGCCCCTCCGGTGCATCCGCGCGAGTTCGCCTGCAGAGCGCCACTGGTATTGCTTTTACTTCCGCTCCCGCTGCCGGTGTACTTCCGGCCCTGCTTCTTCCGCAGCACCCGCGAGGCCTTCTGGTCGTCCTGCTGTTTGTTCTGCACCGGCTGAGTGACGCGGGTTCCATACCGGACGGTACAGCCACCCTCACTGATAGCGTCACCGGGAGGAGGAGCCACTTCTTCGTCGCGCTGCTCGGGCTGCGCTTCGTCGTCTCCAGAGTCGTCCTTGGGCTGCACCTTGCTGTCCCAAGGACCTTCCCCGGGCTGCAACTCGCCGTCCACAGAGCCACACCTCGCCACGTCCTCCGAGGGGCACTGCTCGTCCTGCAGCGAAAAGCAGGCCGTCACCACCAGCCCTAGCTGCTCGTCCTCTTGTTTGAGCTCGTCCAGCTCGGGGCCCTCGTCGACGGACACCTCTCCAGGATCCTCACCGAGAGACGCCACGCTCGAGGAGCTTGGATCGCCACCTGCAACAACAGCACAGCGTCAGACACCTGCGTCCCCGAGTTCCAAGGAACGTCACATAGCCGGCATGCACGAGCGTCGAGCGAGGTACAAAATGCAAGTGGTGCCCGGGTTTATTCAATCTGAAGAATGTCGTTTTTATTCGTTATACAATAAATAAACAAAACACTAATTTATTACAAACATTGCTGGAATATGAGTGAATTGGTTACAAAGTTTTATGATTCAAAAAGAAAAACAAATTGTTTTATGTTTACTGAGACTTGATTTACGACTAAAAGCCTTACGACACGCATCACACGTGTATGGCTTTTCACCAGTGTGTGTCCTCACGTGCCTGACAAGGTGTCCTTTCTCAGTGAAACACATATTACATACGTCACACTTGAAAGGCTTTTCACCAGTGTGGGTCCTCATGTGAACAACAAGCGTGCATTTATGAGTAAAGCGCATTTTACACACATCACACTTGTATGGCTTTTCACCAGTGTGTGTCCTCACGTGAGCGACAAGATTACATCTATAAGCAAAACACATTTTACATGCGTCACACTTGTATGGCTTCTCACTAGTGTGTGTCCTCACGTGGCTGACAAGAGTGCATTTCTGAGTAAAACGCATTGAA